AGCAGTTTGAGCTATAGTAGCTCGTCTGCCAGCCTTTACTCCCCCACTTGCATCAATGAGCCTTGGCCCCCCATGATCCTGTCTCTGGTTCAGCACTTTTCCCTCCTTGGACCACTTTTGATAGGTACTGACCACAGCAGACCGGAACACCTCACAAGAGCTGCAGTTTTGGAGATGCTCTGACCCAGTCATCTAGCCATCAAAATTTGGCCCTTGTCAAAGTCTCTCAAATCCTAACGCTGCCTGCTACACTTCACCTGTCAGTGCTCATAATGTTATGACTGATCAGTATATAGTCACATCTTAAGTTAACTATTGTTAGCTAACTAGCCAACCAACGATTCATGTAAATTAGCTCGCCAGTTAGATAGCATTTTTTTTTGCAAAAAGGGGCGGGATTTAGGAAGGTGAAATTACAAATCGAGACCCTGCAGATTTGGGGCATTTTTGTTTGGAAAATGACTTTAGTGACTAATCAATTAACAGAAAAACCATATTGCTTTATTCATGTTATTGATTTAATTCATATCAAGGACCTCAGGAAATCTGAGCCTGGTGCAATCTTTTTTTTCAGTCTCCCAGATTAAAGTCATGGGGGTTTCCATAGACTGCAACTAGCCTATTAAGGTTAACTGTCAAAAGAGGATAAAGCAGTTTATCTACTAATTTAAATGGCAACTGAAGACAGACTATAAAATAAATGTTTAATCATCAGTATTGGATATCTCAGAAGGACAGGCTGAATTGCCAGAATATTTCTTGTAGTTTTTCTACAAACTAGGTTTGTAGGAAACAAACACATTTTGTTGCTGAGGCTAGGCTAAACTCCCTCTCTCATCCAGTTATGCAGTTGTCAAGATATTATAATTCTATTCTTTAACCAAATGAGACGAAATCTTCATTTTGACTACAGAGGCACTGCCAGCCAGCAAGTACTAAAAATGTAATGAGAAGAATCACTCTAAACATTTTACTCATAATCAAATCAGATCAGATCAGATATAGCAAACAAACAAATGCAAGGAAGTACTGAGTTTTATGGTACTCAATTCACCAGCGTTAGATACAAACTGAACTTTCCAGTACATAATCGCACACACACACATAAATACACAACGAATATGATAAAAAATTACACATTTCTTGTTCAAAAGCAATTGTGAGTTCAGAGTCACAGCTACAAACACAATAAATGAGTACACACCAGTCTAAACATTTCAGTGGAGACTGACCAAATGACAATCAATAAGGATTTTAAGGAATAAGTTTTTGATGGCATGTCGAATTCATACTCTAACACATGCACAGTACCGTTGCTCCATGCATAAAGCACAAATAAATTCTGATGAACCTAAGTTCTGATGTTACGATTGTGGGTGGCTGTGGCTCAGAGGCAGAGCGGGTCGTCACCCAATCGGAAGGTTGTTGGTTCGACTCCTCCTGCCACGTGTCGAAGCATCCTTGAGCAAGATACTGAACCCCAAATTGCTTCTGATCGGCATCGGTGTGTGTGAATGTATATGAATGAATGAGTTAGTTTCTGTTCTGTTTGCCATCGCTGTGTAAATGTGTGTGAAAGGGTGA